CACAAGTGAGTTCCCTCTTACTGGAGCTACTGTCCCCGAGTAGCACCCGCTGGGACCTACCTGTGAAGAAGAACCGGAACCACTGCAAAGCAGTGCCCCCGATACCTAACCCCTGCAGGCGGTCCAAGAGGATGCAGTGATCTACTGTATCAAAAGCCGCTGAGAGGTCTAAGAGCACCAACAGGGTCACACTACCCCTGTCGATGCTCAGACGCAGATCGTCGGTCAAAGCAACCATGGCAGTCTCGACCCCAAAGCCTGTCCTGAAGCCGGTTTGAAATGGGTCTAGCTTAGAGCTGAAGAGCAACCGCCCTCTCGATTACCTTGCTCAAAAATGGCAGCAACGACACAGGCCTATAATTTCTCATATCCAGGGAGTCTAGGGAAGGTTTTTTCAGAAGCGGCCTAACAGCCACTTCCTTCAAACAAGATGGAACATATCCTTTCCTAAAGGATGCATTGATGATATCCGTGAGGAACCTCAACAATGTCTTCCTCAGCTTACCAAGCAGCTTGTCCACATCCTCGGTACTCACAGACTGAAGCTGATCCAGTATAACTACATCGACGGAGTCGCTGGACGCCTCGCCTATAGACTCTGTTTCAACAGTGGCATCTAAGTCGGCTCTTAACTGAGAGATTTTATCTGCAAAGTAGTTGTTAAACACGTCACAGCAGGCTGTCACAGGGTTAAGTAAGGGGTTTGGCGCAGGAGGCACCTGCGTCATCTCCCTCACCACTCTAAACAGCTCTGCTGGACGGGACTCTGCAGACGCAATACGTGCAGAGGAGAAAGCTCTCTTTGCTGCATGTATTGCCTCCTGATAGGAATGAAGAAAATTCCTATGGCGAGTTCTGTCAGATAAGAGTATGATAAGAATCTGATAAGAGTCAGATAAGACCACAAGGGGAACCTAATCCTAGTTTTTGCACACATGAATTTTTAATGAAAAAGTACCCAAATATAAAAAATAATTTTAAAATGCACAACTCTTGTAATCTTGCTCAAAGGGGAGAAAAATGGGAATTAGTCATTCTTCCACATGAGGATAAAATTGTTATTGTTGTTGTTATTTCTTACCACTCCCCATGGATCAAGGCAGGGAACACCACCAATTAACAGACAAATGACGTCAGTTAAAAAGACTTAAGTGTAGCTCTGTCCCTCTGCAGGGATTGTCAAAGCTGAAGCATATGGCTCTCTGAAATCCTGCAGGAGAACCAGTGTGGCCACAGCAGTTGGCTACCCCTGAGGTAAAGGGTATATTATAAATAATCTATTAACCAGCTACTTTTGTGCGATCTTCCATGATATTAATTTGACTAATAGGACATATCCATGACTCTCTATTCTCAACTTCTCTGCAAGATCTTGTTAGGTTCAGGCC